CAAATAAATAAATAAAATCTTTAAAAAAAAAAAAAAAAAACTAGAAAATCACAAAATTGTGAAAATTAACACTTTTTTTTGTTTCTTTTTTTTTAGAGGTGGGGAGAGAGAAAGAGTGACAGAGGGGCGGGGAGGGGCAGAGGAAGAGGGAGAATCTGAAACAGGCTCCATGCCCAGCAGAAGCCCTACTCAGGGCTCGATTTCTCAACCCTAAGATCATGACCTGAGCCAAAATCAGGAGCTGGACGCTTAAACAACTGTGCCACCCAGGCACCCCTAAACAACAAACTTTTTAACAACCAAATATCAAAGAAGAAATCACAAGGAAAATAAGAAACTACTTAAATACAAATGAAAACAAAAACACAACATACCAAAGCTTATGGGATACAGCAAAAGTAGTGATAAGGGGAAACACAGCTACAAATGCTCATACTAAAAAACAAGAAAGATTTCAAATCGACAACCTATATTCACAACTTAAAGAAAGAGAAAAAGAAGAACAAACTAAACCCAAAGCTAGAAGAAGGAAATAAAGGATTAGAGCAGAGAAAATTAAAACAGAGAACAGAAAAATAGGGGGAAAAAAACAAGCCAAAAGTTGGTTCTTCAAAAAGAGCAACAAAATTAATTAACCAACGTTTATGGGACACCTGTGTGGCTCAGTAGGTTAAAAGTCTGCCTTCAGCTCAGGTCATGATCCTAGGGTCCTGGGATTGAGTCCTCCTTTGGGTTCCTTGCTCAGCGGGAAGCCTGCCACTCCTTCTGCTTGTGTACTCTCTTTGACAAATAAATAAAACCTTAAAAAAAATTAACAAATGTTTAGCTAGATGAACTAAGGAAAAAAGACTCAATTACTAAAATCAGAAATTAACATGGGGACATCAGTATCAATTCCATAGAAATAAAAAGGATAATAAAAGAGTAGTATGAATAGTAGTCTGAATAGACCTAAACTAGTAAGGAGGCTGAATCAGTGATCAAAAATCGCCCAACAAAGAAAAATCCTGGACCTCAGGGCTCTCAAGTGAATTTACCAATCTTTAAAGAACTAATACCAATCTTTTCTAAACTTTTCAAAAAAAACTGAAAAGCAAGGAACACTTCCTACTTATTCTATGAGGTCAGCATAACTCTGACACCAAAGCCAGACAGAGACACACTATAAGAAAACTACAGACTGATCTCCTTTATGAATGCTGATGCAAAAATCCTCAACAAAATATAAGCAAACAGAATTCAACAGCACATTAAAAGCAGTATACACCAGGGCACCTGGCTGGCTCAGTTGGAAGAACATGTTATTCTTGATCTTGGGATTGTGAGTTTGAGCCCCATGCTCAATGGGGTTGTGAGTCTGACACCCCATGTAGAGATTACTTAAACAAACTTTAAAAATTAAAAAAATGGTGAAATGTACTATTAAAAAACAAATAAAATTAGCAATAAAAGCAGTATATACCATGACCAAGTAGCATTTATTCCTGGAAAGCAAGGATGGTTCAACATACAAAATAATTAATGTAATATATATATACATCACCAAAATAAAGGAAAGAACCACATGATCACTTCAATTGATATAGAAAAAGCAACTGACAAAAGTCAACACACTTTTATGATAAAAACACCCTACACAATAGAAATTGTGGAAATTACCTCCACATAATAAAAACCATATATTAAAAAATCCATAGCAAATATAATACTCAGTGGTGAAAGTCTATCTTGTTCCTCAAGATCAGGAACAATGCTAGGATGCCTAATTTCACCCCTTCTAATCAACACAGGACTAGAAGGTCTAGCCAGAGCAATTAGGCAAAAACTAAATAAACAGAAGTAAAATTATCTGTCTGCAAAGGATATAATCTTGTATGTAGAAAATCCTAAAGACCACATAAAAGGTGTTAAAACTAACAATTCAGCAAAGTAGCAGGATACAAAGTCAACACGCAAGAACCAGCTACATTTATACCCCAACAATGAACAATCCAAAAAAATTCCAAAACAATTTTTTTTTTTGAAGATTTTATTTATTCATTTTAGACACAGAGATAGAGAGAGAGCATGAGCAGGGGAGAAGCAGAGGGAGAGGGAGAAGCAGGCTTCCCGCCGAGGAGGGAGCCCGATGTGGGGCTCGATCCCAGGACCCTGGGATCATGACCTGAGCCGAAGGCAGACGTTTAACCATCTGAGCCACCCAGGCGCCCCCAAAACAATTTCAATTACAATAGCATTAAAAAGAGGAAAAGGATTGCACATGAAAACTACAAACATTGCTTAAAGAATTAGAAGCATAAATAAATGGAAACATATTCCATGTTCATGGATTAGAAGAGTTAATATTGTCAAAATGTCCTTATTTCCCATTATTGATCTATCGATTCAATGCAATCCCTATGAAAATCCAGTGACATTTTTTGCAGGAACAGAAAAACATTCTAAAATCCATATGGAATCCCAAAGGATCACAAATAATGAAGAACAATCTGGAAAAAGATGAACAGAACTGGAGGACTCCTACTTTCTGATGTTAAAACCTACTACACAAAGTGACAGTCATCAAAATAATGTGGTACTGGCATAAAGACAGACACAGAGATCAGTGGAATGGAATACAGAGCCCAGAAATAAACCCTCACGAACATGGTCAAGCGTTTTTTGACAAGGTGCCAAGATCATTCAAAGGGGGAAAGGACAAATCAAGAAATGGCGCTGGGCAAACTAAATGTCCATAAGCAGAAGAATGAAGTTGGACCCTTACCTAACACCATGTACAAAACTCAGAATGGATCAAGGACTTAAATTTACAATCCAAAACAACAAAACATGGCACAAAAGCTTCACATTGGATTGGGTAATGATCTAAGAGAAGACACCAAAGGCACAGACAACAACAAAATTACACAAACTGGACCTCATGAAAGTTTAAAAATTTATACATAAAGACACCATTCAGGGTTTCACTTCAAGATGGAAGGATGCTGGATTCAACTCCTCTCACAGAACACTAAACATCCAGCTATCTATGGAACATTTCCCTTTGAAAGAAATCTAAGAAGTAGCTGAGCAACTCCTACACATCAGGCAAATCAGAAAAAACACACTGAAATGGGTAGGAGAGGTGGAGATACAATTTCACCAGAAACCCCACCCCTAGCATAGTGACCCACAATCGGGAGGGAAATCACACCTACCAGCTTCTCCCTGAGGAGGGAAGGGTATGAATCCCACTTCTGGCACCCTAACTTTTAAGACTTAAGGGATAGGCCCCAAAGTATCTACCTTTGAGTGTCAACAGGGCTAATGCCCACAAGACCAACAATACTACAGAACTGAGAAACAGTACTTAAACTGCTTGAATGGACCCACCATGGAGCCAGGACAGAGGCAGCTGACTGAATCAAGCCCAGTCTTTCTGTGAAAAAGGTCCATTTGTCTGTCTTAAAAGTTCAGCCTGAGTGTGCGCTTCTAATTTAACGTATATGTAGGGCCAACTGAAATACTTTCCAAAGCCTGCAGAGGCTAAAAGGTGTCATCTTTGCACTCTCCCTCTGCCTCACTCCAGGTTGCCAGTGTCTCCCAGAAAAGAGCTTATGAACACATCTGCAGCCCTGGTTTTTGCAGTTGCCACCCAGGGAACACCCCTTGAATGCCTGGCTCTGGTGGCCAGTGAAGATTACACTTTCAGATCACATAGCACTGTAACAAACAGGAAACAGGTGGGTTACCGTACCAGGGAACAGCAGAGAGGCAGTAGACAGAAATGCACAGTCCTTCCAAGAAAGAGGACTATTAGGTTATCTTCAAAGATGCAAATGCCCATCTCCCAGTCTTCCCCTGAAAGAGGTTTATTTGCATACTTTAAAAGCTGCTACCTGAGGTTCTGGTTTCCAGTAAGCCCTGCATCTAGCTGCTGCCTGAAATCCTCCCCTTTAGGACACTGATAGGTCTTGGGCATAGTCTGAACTACTGAAAGCCACTAAGAACAAAGTAGGCTGCTTAGACAATCACAATGGTTTGAGAGACAGCCAAAAGCAAGGGCAAGGATGAACAAAAAGGTTCATCTACATAACACCACTCCTTCAAGACTGGGAGAGGTAGTTGTTTTATCTAATGCATGCAAACCAACAAAGACAGCTGAGGATGAAGAAGAAACAGAGAACTATATTCCAAATGAAAGAACAAGATAAAACCTCAAACAAAATGGAGACAAGTGATTTACCAGAGAGTTCAAAACAATAAGCATAAAGATGCTCACCAAGGCAAGGAGAACAGTGCATGAACAAAGTGACAACGTGAACAAAAACAAAGAAAATATAAGTACCAAGCAGAAATCACAAAATTGAAGAACACAGTAAGTGTAGTGAAAAACACAACAGAAGGATCCAACAGCAGATTAGACCAAGCAGAAGAAATCACTAGCAAACTCGAAGACAGGGCAGTGGAATTCATCCAATCAGAGCAGTTAAAAAAGAATGAAAAAGAGTGAAGATAGCCTAAAGGAGTAATGGGGACAAAATTAAGCAGACCAATATTCACAATATAAAGTGACCCAAAAGGAGAAGAGAGAGAAAGAGACGTAAAACTTATTTGATGAGGGGCGCCTAGGTGGCTCAGTCGGTTAAGCGTCTGCCTTTGGCTCAGGTCATGATCTCAGGGTCCTGGGATCGACCCCACATCAGGCTCCCTGTTCGGCAGGGAGTCTGCTTCTCCCTCTCCCTCTGCCTTCCAGTTCCCCTGCTTGTGCACTCACACACACGCTCTCTCTCTCTGACAAATAAGTAAATTAAAAAAAAAAAAGAAACAGAGAAAAACCCTCAAAAAAAAAAAAAAAAACTTATTTGATGAAATAATAGCTGAAAACTTCCTTAATCTGGGGAAGGAAACAGACCTCCAGATCTGGGAGCCAAGAATGTTCAAAATAAGATGAATTCAGAAACCCACACTAACACTCTATAATTAAGTTGCCAAAAGTTAAAAACAAAAAGAGAACCTTAAGAGTGGCTAGAAGAAAACAACTTGTTACATACAAGGGAACCCTCATAAGTATATCAGCATATTTTCTGTAAAAATTTTGCAGACTAGAAGGGACTGGTTTCCTTTCAGCCGAAAGGAAACTTCCAACCAAGAATACTCTACCCAGTAACATGTTAGAACAGATTAACATAACAGTCATATACAGAACATTCTAGCAAAAAGCAACAGAATACATATTATACTCAAGCTCGCATGGTACATTCTTCAGAACAAATCATATATTAGGTCACAAGTCTTAATAAACTTAAGACTAAAATCATATCAAGCATCTTTTCTGACCACAATGGTATGAAACCAGCAATGACCTACAAGAAAAAAAACAGAAAATTCACAAATATGTGGTGACTAAACAACATACTACTGAACAACCAATGGGTTAAAGAAGAAATCAAAAGAAATCAAAAAATACCCTGAGACAAATGAAAATGTAAATATAGCATACTAAATGTTATAGGATGCAGGAAAAGCAATTCTAAAAGGGAAAATCATAGTGATAAATGCTTACATTAAGACATGAGAAAGATCTCAAATAAATTAACTCTATATCTCAAGGAACTAGAAAAGAACTAAGCCCAAAAATAGAAAGGAAATAAAGATCAGAACAAAAATAAATGAAATGGAGACTAAAAATACAATAGCAACAATCAATAAAACTAAGCTTTTTTTTTTTTTAAAGAAAAACAAAATAGACAAACCCTTAGCTACACTAAGAAAAAATGAGAAAGGACACAAATAAAATCAGAAGTGAAAGAGACATGACAACTGATACCACACAAATATAAAAGATCATAAGATACTACTATGAACAATTATACTCCAACAAATTGGACAACCTGGAAGAAATGGAGAAATTCTTAGAAACATACAAACTGTCGGGGCGCTTGGGTGGCTCAGTCATTGAGCGTCTGCCTTTAGCTCAGGTCATGATCCCAGGGTCCTGGGATCAAGCCCCACATCGGGCTCCCCAGTCCACGGGAAGCCTGCTTCTCCCCCTCCCACTCTCCCTGCTTGTATTCCCTCTCTCGCTGGGTCTCTCTCTGTCAAATAAACAAAATCTTTAAAAAAAAAAAAAAGAAAGAAACATACAAGCTGTCAAGAGTGAATCATAAAGAAGTAGAAAATCTGAACAGACTGATTACTAGTAAGGACACTGATTCAGTAATTAAAAATCTCCCAACAAACAAAAGACCAGGACCAGACGGCTTCACTGGTGAATTCCTCCCAACATTCAAAGAAGAATTAATACCAAGCCTTCTCAAACTCTCCCAAAAAAAAGAAAGAATACTCCAAACTCATTTTATAAGGCCAGCATTACCCTAATACCAAAATCACACAATGACAAGAAAATTGCAGGCCAATATCCCTGATGAACAGATACAAAAATCCTCAACAAAATACTAGCAAACCAAATTCAACAATACACAAAAAGGTTCATACAACATGATCAAGCAGGATTTATTGGAGGGATGCAAAGATGGTTCAACATCCACAAAGCAATCAATGTAGTACACTACATTAACAAAATGAAGTATAAAAATCATATGATCATCTCAAAAGATTCATGAAACTCAATATCCATTTATGTTTAATAAAAACTCTCAAAAATAGTAGGTATAGAAGAAACATACCTCAACATAATAAAGGCCATCTATGACAAGCCCAGAGCTAACAACACATTCAGTGGTGAAAACCTGAAAGCTTTTCCCCTAAGATCAGGAACAAGATAAGATGTCCATTCTCATCACTTTTATTCAACATAGTATTGGAAGTCCTAGCTAGTAATTAGGCAAGAAAAAGAAAAGGCATCATAATTGGAAGGGAAGAAATAAAACTGTCTCTATTTGTAGAAGACATGATATTACATATAAAAAAAAAAACCTAGACTCCACCAAAAAATCCTTAGAATAAACGAATTCAGTAACGTTGCAGGATACAAAAATCTGTTGCATTTCAATACAGGATAACGAACCATAAGAAAGATAAATTTAAAAATCCCATTTACGGGCGCCTGGGTGGCTCAGTTGGTTAAGCGACTGCCTTCACCTCAGGTCATGATCCTGGAGTCCCCGGATCAAGTCCCGCATCGGGCTCCCTGCTCGGCAGGGAGTCTGCTTCTCCTTCTGACCCTCCCCCCTCTCATGTGCTCTCTCTTTCTCATTCTCTCGCTCAAATAAATAAATAAAATCTTTAAAAAAAAAAAATCCCATTTACAATTGCATCAAATTTAACCAAGAAGGTGAAAGACCTGTACAGAAGTCCCCACTTACCTGCAGGAGATACATTCCAAGAGTCCCAATGGCTGCTTGAAACTATAAATGGTACCAATCCTATACAAAGACACACACACACACACACTGTTCTCTCCTATACATAGCTATGATAAAGTTTATTTTATAAATTTATTTCTTTATAAATAAGGCACTGTAAGACATTAGCAATAATTAATAATAAAATGTAACAACATACTGTAATAAAGGTCATGTGAACATGGTCTCTCTCTCAAAATATTCACCCTTCTTCTCCTTATGATGTGAGATGATAAAATGCCTATGTGATGAGATGAAGCAAACTGAATGAGGTAGTCACTGTGATGTATAGTTAGGCCACTACCCTGGTCTTCTCACAACATGTGAGATGAAAGATGAGAGAGATTAAAGAAGATGCAAATAAATGGAACGGTATTCTATGTTCATGGATTGGAAGAATACTGTTAAAATGTCTATACTTCCCAAAACAATCTAAAATTCAATACAATCCTTATCTAATTGACAATAGCATTTTTTCACTGAAATAAAACAAACTACCCTAAAATTTGTAATGGAGCTACAAAAGACCTCAAATAGCCAAAGCAATTTGAAAAAAGAAAAAGCTGGAGGCATCATAATTCCGGATTTCAAACTACATTACAAAACTATAGTAGTCAGGGGCGCCTGGGTGGCTCAGT